CAGCCATTTCAACATTACCCAGACGTGGGGAATTTAAGTATGGCTTACTTTATGATTCATGTATATCGGGACCTGTGGAAGTATTTGAACATCAGCTTTTGGACTCCCCAAACTCAGCAGGTTTGGGCATATGTTTCAAATTGGAGGTTGCCCTGGAAGCAAGTTTAAAAGATGTCTCCAGGGGTTCAGTTTTCGAGGGTGCAAGAATATTTGCCATATTGATCCATATTGTAGCACCAGGTGCCGATGTTGCGATTTTCGCTGCCGTTGCTAAACTCCACATCTTTTGGTGTTTAACCCCGTGTTTTTGATGCTTCAATCTCTATTTTGGGGCGTAAAAACTCCACTGTTCGGTGATTAATGTTTCTTTCCCAGTTATATGCACCCCCGCCAATCCCTCCAACTCCTTCCTGAGACAACCTTTCTGTATTCATTGTGTACATTCACATATATTCACATAGCAAATGGTGTGAAAATGATTGAACATCCCAGTTTTGGGCGTGTTTGCAAGGTGTTTTAAGATGTTTTGATCTGAAAGACGTGGTGCTCTTAGGACAAGATGGCCTTTCGGCTCCATCGACCTCGCATTGTTCAGGTTGCCTTCAAGAAGACAGGCGACACCAGCCTTGGTGGGGATCGGTTGAGACGGTTGAGATGTACATCTGTTTGGGATGGGATGCGGGGAGAAGTCTATTCCATGTGATTCATGATTTACGATGATTTATGATGTGATGTACTACTATTTGCTTGAATTTGAAGTACTGAAACTATATTAGTGAACTGCTATTCTGATGACATGGCAGGTTTCCTGCAATTTTCATGATGATTTCAATGTTGGAAGCTGGGCATTGTTTGGATCCAGGTATAGCAGACCAAGGGTTGCACTCCCACTGTAAAATACCAAGAATGTGCCATGAGTTTGTAACATATCAGCCAGCTTTATGAATATAATTTACATGTGTTTGCTATGGCTATACTGTATATCAATATCTATATCTATATCTATATATCCTGGTAAATAAATATATATATATATATCTATCTATCAATCTATCTATCTATCTATTTACCTGCTATATTCATCTATATGCCCCTCTTACACATGTTCAAGGCCACTTTTTTCAGGCAGCCTGGGGATGAAGTTGGATTTCACCGAGTCTTCAACGGGCGCCCAAATCCGCGAGATTGGGCCAAGTGGGCACATTCCCACATGGAATGCGGCACATCCAGGGGATGCAGTCAACTTGGCGAAAACATTGCAGTTTTTTGGGTGGAAAAAAGGGCTGGAAAACTGGAATTGAAGTGAAAAAAAACAGTTTTAGGGATGTGGAATGATGTGGATTCGAGTTGTCTTCGAACTTATGCAGGCCTTTTTAAAAGGGCAATTTTCAACAGTGGCGGTTGCTGCGGGATACTGTAATTATACATCACTATATGCTACAGCATTCCGCAACTTTCAAACTGCATGCGCGCACACCCAAAAACTATATTGAATCACGCATGCTTCCAGAACCTTCCATATGTATCCATACTGGTTTGTGGTTTGGAACATATTTTATTTTTCCATATATTGGGAATGTCATCATCCCAACTGACTGACTAATATTCTTCAGAAGGGTAGGTCAACCACCAACCAGATATATAATACCCTTTGGTAATTTAACATAACTATGGAAAATGGCTATTTATAGTGGATTTACCCATTAAAAATGATGATTTTCCATGATTATGTTAGTTTACCGGAGGGTAATATTGACATATCATATCGTGTCGTATCCCCCAAGGTCCAGGCCACAGATCGATTGGTGGAGTTCAATGGGCAGATGAAGTTGGGCGGCGAACTGCTTGATGCGATTACGAAGGAAGGGGATGATCACAGGGTTGGTGGGGGGTTGGGGTTGGGGGTTGGGGTTGGGGTTGGATACTTCCAAGATTCTTATTTTTTTTAAAGATAGTTAAAAGCTTCATAGAGACATCAGATCATGTGTGCTAAGCTTCTTTTGAAACTTGGGATGATGGGGATGATGAGGTTGGAGTTGGGGATGATGGCGAATCCATAAATTGGTGGTTTTTGGGGGTGAACATGATCTAATATAAGTCTATAAATTATGGATTTCCCAGCAAGCCATGGTTGATTGCCAGCGGGTGCAAAACATGTCTTCATGGGGGAGGGATTGTTCGACTAAACATGGTAAACAAATGTAAACAAAAACTGGTATTTACAGTGTGTTGTGACAAAAATAGGCTTAAACCCTTTATTTTAGAGCAAAAGTTAAAGTTCAGCTCCAAAGGCTGTCATATGCTGTCATAAATCACTGGCAGCTACAGACTTGTGTGATAGAGCTCTGCTTTTCCGCTTTTCCTGTGAAGCTTGCAAAGAATACAAGCAATCACTTGCAATTGCAAAAAATACATAGCAGAACACATCTGCTGCACCACATGCCATACGAATGGGCAGCTTGTGTATATTGGAAAAATAGGATATACAGTATCAATAGGTGGCTAGTGTGATAGGGGTGATGGATAAATTTTATTTAATTGCCTTCGGCAAGCCCGCCGGCCATAGAGAGGTGGCCCCAAGGGAGTTTGATGTGCACTCTAGGTGGAAGCCCGCGAGAGAAGCAGAAGAGAAAAGAAGGAGAAGAAGAAAAAGAATAAGAAGAAGAAAGGAAACGAAGACAAAGCCGTAAAACGGAAGCGGCTTGTGTAGCAAGTGCTGGCTGCAACAACCTATTGATCGTATACCAAATTAGTACCGCCCCCAGCAAAGAAGCGCCAGGTACTATGTATGAGCCTCTGGCTTGACAGCAGACCGCTGCATGGAAAGGAGACAGGGTGGAAGCGGAGAGAGATTGCCCCAAGGGAAGTTGATGTGCACGCTAGGTGGAAGCCTGAGAGAGAAGCAGAAGAGAAGAGAATAAGAAGAAGAAGAAGAAGAGACGAAGATAGAGCCGTAGATCAGAAGCAGCTTGAGTAGCAAGCGCCTGCTTGAACAACCTATGGACTGCATACCAAATGAGTACTGGTCGACCAGTTTAGTAGTGACGAGTACCGGTAGACGACTGTAATGCTGTAAGCAGTGTCATTAGCCACCGGAACTACCAGTTTAGTACTTGGGGAAGAAGGGAGGAAGGAGTAGAGGAGTAGAAGAGTAGAAGTACGAGTAGGCGTAGGAGTAAGAGTAGGAGTAGGTGTGGTGGTGGTGGTGCTGGTGGTGGTGGTGGTGGTGGTAGTAGTAGTAGTAGTAACAGTAACAGTGGTAATAGAAGTAATAGCAGTAGCAGTAGCAGTAGCAGAAGTAGTAGTAGTAGTAGTAGTAGTCGCAGTAGTAGTCGCAGTAGTAGTAGTAGTAGTAGTAGTAGTATCAGTAGTAGTAGTAGTAGTGGTAGTGGTAGTACTAGTAGTGTTAGTACTAGTAGTGGTAATATTAGTAGTGGTAGTACTAGTAGTGGTAGTACTAGTAGTGGTAGTACTAGTAGTGGTAGTACTAGTAGTGGTAGTACTAGTAGTGGTAGTACTAGTAGTGGTAGTACTAGTAGTGGTAGTAGTGGTAGTACTAGTAGTGGTAGTACTAGTAGTGGTAGTACTAGTAGTGGTAGTACTAGTAGTGGTAGTACTAGTAGTGGTATTGGTAGTAGTGGTAGTGGTAGTAGTGGTAGTGGTAGTGGTAGTGGTGGTGGTGGTGGTGGTGGTAGTAGTAGTGGTAGTAGGGGGAGGGGGTGGACTTGATTCAGACGAAGCAAAGACGTGCGGCAAGAGAACAAAGGAACAAGCACAAGCCAAGAACAGAAACAAGAACAACACCTTCCAATCAGACACGCCGGCAGGCCGGCGGATTGCTAGAAGCAGTTGTATATAAAGTTATTTTTCAACAAACTGGGCAGTTGTTGGCCGATTCCCAAGCCATTTTCAATACATTGCCTTTTTCACGGGCTTTGGATGTGATATCAGTGGTAGTGGTTGGTTCTTTGTTTTACATTTGTTTCACTGACCTGCAACCAAGGCTGAAGTCCAACCAGGAGTTAGTTTGCCGAATCCGAGAGTAATCCAACCAATAATGATCCCTTGAACGACCAGATTTGGATGATTCTCAGGTGTTTTTTGATACCATTGGCGTCAAACCTGGCTCAACTTCAAACTCCGCTTGCAGGAAAGCTCTGAAAACACCATGACCCTCACAGTGCTCAAGTACTAGAGTTTGGGTGCCGTCTGAGCTGTCTTTGGGGCCTTTGACCGGCAGTGGAATGAAAGCTATTAGGCTATTTTGCGGGCTTCTTTGCAAGCTCCCAATGCGGCTAACTCCTTAGGAGTATTTGGCCACACGTAAGGGCATTCGCCAAAACATTGCCAAACAACTCGGAATTTTGCATGAATTTGCAATAGCAATGAGTTCAAGATAGTTCAAGGCTGGTAAGGGATCAAAACGCATTTTAAACCAATAAACCATGCGTTTTTTCATATGAATTCCAGCTTACAACATTTTGTGAATATTACAGGGCGACAGGGTTTTGCTATGGTTTCCCCGGTGGCCCTTGGATTCCAATAGCCTCTTTCGAAAGTCAATGTCTTGGCAATGCCCGAAGCCAGTCATAGAAAGTAACACAACCGCAGCGCGTCCGCTCTCAGTGAGCGGCGGTCTGTTGTCAGCTGGTAGCAGTGATCATTTATCACCAGGTTAAACCCTTGATGAGGTGGATTTCCCTCTATAAATATGTGTGTATACAGTGTATATATATATATATATGCCTGAAGTGTATTTGGAGGCATGAGGCCAACCATCTGATTTTCTCGCACATTTGAGACAGGCCACTGAAATCTCAACGGGGTCTACGGAGTTGACTGGATCAGCCGGATCGTCCAGCTACACTGCTCCCGCGCCCAGACAAGAATCTTATTGACTTGAGCTGGGCTGAAAAGACATAGCCGCTATCAAAGCATGCCCTGTCGGCGTGAACACCGAAGAACAGCAAAAAATGCATTGCGCAAGGCCTGCAGTGAACTTGAGATCTGATTTCCCAGCTGGATGTACATGATTGGGCCCTTTTTTGGGCGAATCTTATACTGTTGATTGGTTTGTTTCATGGTCTTGTTGGCAAGATATCCGTGAGTGTGTTTGTCTTTGTTTGATTGTTGCTTCTGTTGATTCACATCCTCAATTACTTAACTTTTTGAGTTCTTATGATTTCATACAATATGTGACAATATGTGAGGCTCAGTTCAATCTTAGACACTTCCATGTTTTTGTTTAAGTGGGTTATCCCAAATAGTCACCCCATCAGTTTCCCCACATCCCATCTCCCCACAAGATCAGAGCTCCGCTCAGGCTCACAGAGCATCTCAAAAGACTCTGGGACCACTTCGGAATCCCCGAGTTTCACAGGCGATGTGGCGATGTGGCTCTGAAAATGGCTGGCTGTTTATATCCTTGTGATGTTTTACCATGTTTTACCATGTTTTACCATGTTTTACCCCTACTTGGCTGGGATGATTCTCATTTGGGAAAAAAAAGGTGGAATGGCTCGAATATGCCAACTGCAGAAAAGCGCAGGGTCTGCCCTGGTCTCTGGCAGCAAAAACCACTGGTCCTGGTCTACGAATAGGGTTTGCGCCACATAGCGGTGTAATGGGGCATACATCCTTTTCACACGTATATGTATAAATATATCAAAATCATATAAACATATTGTATGTATATACATACATTATATATATATACACTTGATGTTGCATATAGATGGATGGATGGATAGATAGATAGCTAGGAAGACAGCTATCTAAAGATAGCTAGATGCTAGATAGCTAGATAGCTAGCTAGCTAGATAGATAGATAGATAGCTAGATAGCTAGATGGCTAGCTAGATAGATTCACATAGACAAGCAAGAAAACTATCTTTCGGTGTGTTTGAACATTGGGTTCTGGGCAACTTTCGATGTAAGGCGTACCCTTTGCTAGTTCTGGCAAGGGACCGGTGGATTTGGGGGTACCCTTCGGTTATTTTTACCATGGCAATGGAGAATCCACCATTTAAATTTATTGGATGATTACCCATTAAAGTATCTTATTGTGCAAGTGAAATCATCTATAACTGGTGGATTTTCATGGGAAAATCAGAGATGGTCCTGCAAAAACAAAATAAAATCAAAGAAATAGGTGATTTTTGCCATGTTTGGTTTCAGACTGATTCTGGACACTTTTCCGGAGAGATTTGATGGGATCAGGCAGCTGTACCTGGCGCGCTATTGCTCCGGGAAGTACCAAAGTGATGTACTGCTGAAGGAGGTGCCATTTTGATGGGGAGAACTAGCCATTTTGATGGGGGAGATGTGATTCTTTCTCATGGGGCTAGAATGGGATTGAACGGACTTTAGTCAGGATGGAAATCCCACTTCTGTATGATGCTACGTGTATCACGCGCCTCCAACCAACCATTTTATAGGGATATGATTATGGCATATCCCTTCGCCAATAGTGGGATCTACCAGATATGGGGTTTGAACATGTTGTACCCAAAATCAGGTTTGATGGTTGATCACCATTTTCCTATTAGGATTGCCAGTTGGGAGTACATACGTTTTTCAAACAATCCAAGGCTTTTCTAGGTCATGCGAGACCAGAAGTCATCATCTAAGTTAAATTCCTCATTATTGATAAGAGACAAAACTGGTGAAAGGGAAGGCCCAATTTGCAGAAACACCCACATGAGAAACGAACAGATATCTCATTACACGAGAGAAGTGATGTAGCAGGCCAAATGCACCAGTTGCCGTGGGAGTTGCCAGCATTGGTTTGGTATGATCGAAACATGGAGGTCGACATGATAGTTGGCATGTTTTTCATGGGTGCCCATGACATGTCAAGGTGTCACAGGGTGTCATGGAAGTGGGACGAAACCATGTGTTTTTTATAGTTATATAGATTAGGACTAGGACATTTTATTATTTTGTTGATATAATATTTATCGATTGGGATATGAACTGTTTATATAATCTCTACACGTTTTTGACTGCGGCCCTTTATCAAACATGTGAAAAACTGGAGACTCCAGGCCGTCCATGTCTTTAGCTCTGGTGTGACCTCCTTCAACTCAAACTTACAAAATCAGAACGTTTACCATGGGGTAAACTAACATCAATGTGGTTTTCACCAAAAAAAAACATGGCTTTCCCAAGTATTTCATCATCGACCTAAATCTCGGGTTTTCCACAATTGGAGGGTTGATAAGTTGATGCTGTTGGAGTTGTGGTGGGAAAACCCTCCAGGAAAATTTCACAGAACGATTTTTATGGAAAACCCATCATGAATATATACATATATAGATGAGGTCTTAAGTGAACTGCACGGTAGTTCTATGTTTTCGTCGTTTCCGAGCTCCTAAGACTTTTAAAAGGTTGGCTGTTTTTTTTCTTTAAACAAAACACCCCAAAGATGCAGAACTTAGTTGGCAATCTGGAAATCTGAGGATATATGAGCTATATAAAATATATAAATATCATGTATACCATCCTGGTGGCACACTGGTTCACGGGAGGTCCAAGCCTTGGTAAAAGGTAAAGCCTTGGTCAGGAGCTGAGGCCGCTAGTGTGACCAAAGAAACCATTGGATTGATGTGGTTTGACAATGGTTTATTGTGGTTAAATCACAGGCATGTCACATGTTGTCGGAAACATGAACCATTGTCAAAACATGGTTTCTGTCTCAATTTAAATGTCGGTTTGATGATCTTCAATTGGTACTGTGTATGAGAATATCGTTGGATTTTATGTTTGACCAACTCAGGTTTTATTTGGGCATGTAGTGTCCATCTTAGTGTTACACTATTGGTTTTAGTTTGGCCTTTCTGAAATATAGAACATAACTTCACTTTCTTCATTGTGTATTCTATTAGCTTCTGGCTTCATTATTTTCATGTTCAACCATAGCAATGGGTTGATGATCCCCAATGACGAGCGTATTTCTAGCATTCAGAAAGGTTGGATGATTACAATATTTTTGAAACCACCAGTCAGAATAATGGTGGATGTTGATTAGTGGACACTATCCCCCAACTAAACAATGAAAAAACAATTGCCATGACTCATGAATCTAAGTAAGGATTTGAGATCATGCGATTCTAATTCTACGTTCAAGTCACTCCCATCCCACTAATCAATGGGCAACATCAACTTGGTTCTTTCTTCCGGGGATCTTGTACCCTGTTTATATCTCACTTATATAGATGAGTTGGAAATTATCCCATGGCTTCTGTGATGTTTGTTTACCTTCACAATCCCCACGAGTATTGCAACCCGTGAAGCCATGGAAAAAACCTGGCTTTTGAGCCTCTAAAAATGGATTCCATATGGATTGGTCTGCAAATTGATGAACGATGTGAACGTGCCCCAGTGGTCAATCATCATTATCCCTTTGTGGAAGTGGAGGTTTCCTAAAATGGGGGTACTCCTAAATCATCCATTTTAAGTGGGAGTTTCCCTTATAAATCAGGTTTCCCCATTGTAGGAAACTCCCATGTATCCCTAATAAAATGGCCCAAGACGTGCTGAATGGCGCCTGCCAAGGTACAGCGTGTGATGAAAGCCATTGAAAGTCGAGAGGAGGCGGATCGTTTCACTGCGGGCTCTGCGGCGCAAGTGGCAAAGTCGAATCTGGTAGGTTTGTTTCAAAATAGCGGAGGCATAATCAATGGCTGTTCTATGGAATCAAAAAAATAGGAACAACTATGATCCTTCCAAGGGATTTTGGTGGTAACACTGCAATCAAGATAGATGGGTTACTGTCCATCCATGTACTTGTTCTTACCTTCACGATGGCACACCGAAACCGCGTGGCACCTAGAATGTGTAGTGTATAAAACTATGCATATAGAACCGTACATATAGATACATATACATATAACCCACTGTTATTTAGGAGGTACACATTCAATCCACGAGAATATTCAGACCCTTCTTATGTTCATCAATGTCATGTTTTCAGGCTTTGAACATTTCAGCAGGTGATCACCTAAGACCCAAGGGTTGCTCCAGTATTTTTTTCCCACAGCCAAAATTGTCATCTCCATGCATCTTCCCGTTTTGTTGGGTCATGTATATAACCTACCAAGTACCCATTGATTGAAGAATTCCATTCACAAATGAGAATAGGATGAAACATTACTATTTTATTAGGGGGTTTCTGTTTTTCAAAGATTACATAACACACACACACACTCAGTCACTTACTTCATAGGGGCTATGAATCCACATTTTCATGAACATAAATTGGGAACACAAACTATTCATCTCATTGAGTGCAGCTCTCCCAATAAAGTGGTGCCTTCCACTAGCTCTATAGACATGATACCCTAGTTAAGCTATATAACAAACCCCAATAAATGCCGGAAAATGGTTCCAGGATGTTAGTTCAAGATGATGCGTCCCTCGATATTTTTGGCTTCCAACGGTATATATGTTTTGGTGTTGCTTAATATATCCCACTAAATTCCAACTCTTCTTAATCCCATTTGCAATAAAATATCCTATTAGATACCATGCATCTCACCATTTAATCCATGGTATCCATTTTATTTGGATTTAATGGTTAGATGGTTAAATTGTGATCAATCACCATCTCATGGTGGCTATATATCCCATCCATTCACCATGAAATTTTCATTTCATCACCATTTCACCATTGAAATCACCATCAAACTCCTCTTAATCCCACCATGATACCTAGATACCATGAATTTCAACATGAAATCCCTGGTTGCTATATATATATATACACACACACACGTTTATTGTATAATTATATATACATTATATATATATATAATGTTGACCTACGATTTGTAAACTACCCCTGAATAAAGCTAACCAAACCCCCAAACTAAATAGTAAACTACCCCTAAATAAAGCTAATTTTTTTTGGCCCTTAACCCAGATTTGCCCACATGGGGCTGAAAAAAAGTTTTATTTGAGGTGGTGGCTTTCATGTACTGATTCATATTGCCAGCTCATCATATCTTACCTTGATAACTTCAAATTTTCAAAAATAATGGTTGCTCTTTCTATTCAAAACCTTTATTCAAAATTATCCAAAATCAATCCCAAATCAACTCGTCAAGGGTACCCCCCATGAGGTGCCTTAGCACTAATTAGAGTTTGACCCTGAATAAAGCTAAATGTTTTTGGCCCTAAACCCAGATTTGTCCAGATGAGGCTGAAAAAAAATGTCCATGCTTTATTTGAGGTGGCTTTCATCTACTGATTCATATTGCCAGCTCATCAGATCTTACCTTGATAACTTCAAATTTTCAAAAATAATGGTTGCCCTTTTCTATTCAAAACCTTTATTCAAAATTATCCAAAATCAATCCCAAATCAACTCATCAAGGGTACCCCCCATGAGGTGCCTTAGCACTAATTAGAGTTTGACCCTGAATAAAGCTAATTTTTGTTTGGCCCTAAACCCAGATTTGCCCAGATCCATGACATGAATACTAAATCAATACTAAATCCATGACATGAATACGAGATCAATACTAAATCCATGACATGAATACTAAATCAATACTAAATCCATGACATGAATACTAAATCAATACTAAATCCATGAGATGAGTACTAGATCAATACTAAATCCATGACATGAATACTAAATCAATACTAAATCCATGACATGAATACTAAATCAATACTAAGTCCATGAGATGAATACTAAACCAATACTAAAACAATTGTTGGATTCCTGTTTTTTTTTGAAATTGCATTTTATGTATTCGTTTTAAATTGTGGTAATTGAAAACCTTTACATACAAACAAGTTTTTAACTTTATTTGAGGTAATCAAGGGGGGGGGGGCCAGGTTTATAAATCAGAGGCAGACATTATATCCTATTTCATCAGCATTTAATCATCATTTCACCATGAAATCACCATGAAATTACCATGGAGTCACCAGGTGCTGCTTCGCCTCAGTGTTTTGCGCAGCGCCTTTGGTGACCTGGAGTTGCGAGAGCCTGGCACCTTGGGAAGGCGAGTTTTTGTGCTCGCGGATTCCGGGATCCCCCAGGTGTGCATCGGTTTTTACATGGGTTTTAGATGGGTTTTAGATGGATTTAAAAGGGTTTATATGGGTTTATATTGGTGTTAGATGGACTTTAATGGATTTAAATGGTGTTTTATGGGGTTTATTTAGGTTTTATAGCTGTACATAGGTCGATTTGTCTATATCAGTCTTGCATTGTTGGGTTTTAGTTATTGATTTATATAATATGCATTGGCTATGTATATATATATAGTAGTTTTATCGTATATGTGTTTGCGACGTTTGAAATATTTGATTCTGACTTTACTAATATCAGTTTTGCAAGATCAATTCCGGATTAATAAACCCCGAGTTTACTAATTGGGGGGTGCCATTTACAAGGATATAATATGACTATTTTTTGGGAACCACCCCATTTGAATAACACTAATATATGTCTGTTAGTTAAAACAATAGTAGTATATAAACCATGCTCATTTCATCATAAACAACTGGAGAGATCCTTCAAAATATTGGTGGTTTCTTGCTTTACCCGCATTTTTGTTGAAATCTTGGATGATTATGATTTTGCTAACTCCATGTTCCATGCAGTTGATGGTACCCCTATTCCCATGGTCGCTTCCAATACGGAATACGGAATAGGGGGTTCGAACATGGGAGTAGTGTGGGAGGCATTTTTGATGTTGTTTTTGACCTGGCAGCTGTTGATCGTTTTCTCTTTCCCAGTTTCCAAGAAACAAATTATCGAGTGTAAAAATGCGAGATTAACAAACAAAACATTATGATCCAAATTATTTAGCAACATAATTTTATCTAAATTTATATGTTTTTACTCAAATGCAGTGTTTTATCTGTGGATCCATGGTCTCCCAGGGTCCCATAGGTGTCAGCTGTCTGAGCAGCTCTATTGCTTGCGCGTGATGACGGCGCAGGTTCTGTGGGGACTTGTTGGGAAAAACATGTGAATCGATGGTTAGTGTTGTCAGTTGGTGTTTGGGACAATGCTCTAGTGCGATTCGAAGCAAACAATCCATTTTATATAACAGAAGTAAACCAGGACTGCGGAAGAATATATGGATCATTTATTACTTAATATGATCTGTTCTGACAGATATGTACCTCGTGTTTTACACCACACAAAAAATAAACTTCTGACCTTTTGTGGCATTTTTTCTGGTGTGTTCTCAGCATGTTGATCTGAAAGAATGGCACAGAAACTTGGAACCTGGGAATACCTACCTACACTGTGGGGCCGTTATTTTTTGTGTTTTTTTCTTAATTAATTACATGTTTACGTATGAATATATATATATATATATATATACTACACATGTATATACATATGTATATATGCTATATATATATATAGATATATGTGTGATGTATATACTATATATATTATATGTAGGTATGTACATGATATGTATATATAAATATATATTATACTATATATATACATGTTATACATATATATTCTATACCTATAGCATAATATATATATATATATATATTATAAATATATTATCTGAAAGTGTTTTTAATAAATATAATGTTATAGTATATGTTATTATATATAGGTATATATATTGTTATGTATATATATATATACTATTTGTATATTATCTTATATTATATTATGTTATGTTATTATATATATATATATGTTATATGTTATATTTTATAAATGTGATATTATATATATGTGATTTTATATATATATGTTATATTATATATATGTTATATATTATATATATATATATATATGTGTGTATGTGTGACGGGATATAGGGTTCTCACTAGTTGCTACGCCAACCTTTGGCTCAAGAACACCGCTGCTAAAATAGCGAGTTGCATATTCTCCGTTCATGGTAGCGGAGCGATACGCTCCAGGGTCTTAGCAATGGACCAACAACAAGCGGCACAGGTCCTCCAGTCGCTCCAGGAACTACAGACCGAGGTCAATCGACTAAGAGGCCGAGAAGCTGAACTGACAGCACAGGTCGCTTCTTTTGGTGCCGGTTCGGCTGCTTCAGCTGGACCTGGCAGTGCACTGGCACAGTTGGTGCAGTCACAAAAGGAGCTTGTGGACGCCCTTAGATCGAAAGAACAAGTCCGGTTGGTCGACAACAAGGGCCTTGGCAAGCCCGACAAGTTTGATGGGACAGCCGAAAGATTCTTGTCATGGAAAATCAAGACGTCCTCCTATCTTGCAAGTGTTCGCAAAGACCTTCGTGAGATTCTGGTTTGGGCCGAAGATTGCGATCATGCAATCACTGCAGATGACATCGACAAGGCTTTTGGGAGTCAAGCAGATGCCATTGACCAGGTGTCGAACATCAGTGAATTGAGACGCGAGCTTTGGGACGCGCTGCTAATGCTGACAGAGCGTGAGCCCTTTGACATCGTGCTGAACACCGGGGAATGCGGCATCGAAAGCTGGAGAAAGCTCACGCGGAGGTACGACCCATCCACTGGTGGTCGCAAACGCGCTCTCCTCAATGCAATCTTGTCACCGGCTCGATCCAAGATGGAAGATTTGCCGTCCAACCTGGAGAAGCTTCTTGACAGCATCAGACTTTATGAACGTCGCAAAGACGCATCTGGCAACCGAACGATGTTGGCAGAAGACATCAAGATCAACGTGATTGAACGATTGGTGCCGGCAGAGCTCGAGCGTCATCTCGTTCTCAATCGAGATCGCTTCAAGACGTTCGAGTCCATGCTGTCCGAGATCCAGTCCTATGTGGAACATGCCACCGGCAACAAGATCAAGGTGGTGAACAGCCAGCCCTACGACGCACATGGCCGTGGGGACGATCCTATGGATGTCGGAAGCTTTGGAAAAGATGCAAAGGGAAAAGGTAAGGGCAAGAAGGGAGCTGGAGGAAAACCTGGAAAGGGAAATGCAACAGCTGAGAAGAGAACATGTCACAACTGCGGACGCCCAGGACATCTGCGGGCAGATTGCTGGGCACCTGGAGGCCCCAAACATAAGGGGACGGGTGGCAAAGGCAACAGCAATCAGAATAAGGACAAGGGCAAGGGCAAAGGCAGCCCCGGAAAGCACAAGCAGAAGCCCAAAGGAGGCAAATCTGTGAACAATGTCGAACAAGGTGAACCAGAAGCAGAAGACTGGGACGCAGCTGATGGCGACGATGGTCAACAAGCAGCAAATGGTTTAACGCTCTATGGTGTTGATGGGCCACCGCATGACGAGGATGACGACGAAAGTTTCCAGGTCGATCCCGAGTCCGAGGAGTCGGAAGCCTCGACAAGTCGCAGAAGGTGGTTTTCTTTGCCTCACCCACGTGCGTCATGGCCTGAAGAGTGGGACGACCCCGACTATGATGGACCGAGTGGATCGAGTGGCTCAAGACCCCTTCGGTCGCTTCGACTGGAGGAGGTCACCGAGCACGAGACCACTACATCCAAGTCCGCGTCTTCCAAGGCACCTCGAACGCCACAGGGAAGACCCAAGAGGGGCAGAAGTCCAAAGAGCTCAGCACCAAAGAGAGGCAAAGCAAGCAGATCAGGGCCAGTCACTCCGGAGTCAGCACTCCGACGCTTTCGAATGACTTCGATGACACCACCACCAAGGAGAAGGTTGAGGCATGGGCCACAGACTCCAGAAGAACTTCTTCGTAGCTCTACACCTTTGCCAAAGACACCACCGACACCTATAGCATGGCCTGCATCACCTCCACAACAGCCGATAGCCTCGCCCAAGACTCCACCAGGACCACCACCAGGATGGCAAAGCCAAGTAGCTTCACCCAAGACTCCGCCATGTCCACCACCGGGATGGCAAAGCTCTCAGGTGAAGCCACCACCACCTGTCAAGGCATCATCGGCAGCTTCGACTTCAGGTTCTCGACTTGTCCAGATGCTGAAGGCTGCGCTGAGTTCACAAATCCGCAAAGTCCAAGAAGAAGATCCTGGTTCAGGAGATGGCCAGGCAGATGCGATGTTAGCGGCTTTGAGGACTAGATCTGTCAAGGCACCGCACATCACAAAGCAGAACATCAGCGATCCTTCTTTCCACGACTCGAGATACCATGCCGAGATTGCCAAAGGTGTTGCACACAATGTGGCCTGGAGAAATGAACGTTTGAGAAGACGTGCAATCGTCCACCGACGAGGAGGAGTCAAGGCACGTGCGGCTGAAAGGATTCGACTTGACAAAGAATGGCATGAACGCTTTGACAACCCAGAAAATCCAGAAGGCATAGTGAGAATCGAGGATGAAGACAACTTGGATGCGGGCATCGAGACGGTGGTTGTGGGCAAAGCTGGTCAGAGCACAGTGATAGAGTTTTCAGCGGAAGAGCGGAAAACCTTGAGGCAGTTCCCGGACGACGAGGCCAAGTTGCTGCAGAAGGACCCCAAGAAGAAACCCATGACCAAGCGTGTTCGAAGCGTTGGGTACAGGGTGAAGAAGAATCGCAACCGCAATGTGGCGCGCAAGATGGCGAGGAAGAACCGACCAGCCTTGGTTCTGAAGGAAAACACTGAAGTGAACGCAGATGAAGATGATGATGAAATGGAAGAGGTCTACATCGAAGAGCCTGATGAGCCTCGAGACCGACCAGGCAGAGGAGACCCCGATGGTGGAGCTGGATCGGCTCCTGCTGCAGTCTACAGCTTGGGGGCCTCTGACGACTGGCGAAAATGGGAACGAGCAGAGTTGAACATCGACACCGGTGCTGCCATCACTGCAGTACCACTTGACTTCGCCAAGGACTACCCGAGGAGCGAGTCCAATGGAGCAAGCTACAAGGCAGCCAATGCGGAACCCATCGAAGATCAGGGAAGTGTGAAGCTGGTGGGATACGACGAATCTGGCAACAAGATCCCAATCGATTGCCGAGTTGCAGATGTGCATCGGCCACTTCTTTCAGGTTCCGAGATCGCCAAGAACTACCACATCGCCCTTGGACCATCTTCGGGGAGATTGATCCCAAGAAACACTCCTGCGGGACGGGCCTATTCGAAGGCCATGAAAGATCTGATCCGAGATTATGGCGATTCAATGCCCATTGTGCACAATCGCCGAGGCATCTATGTGTTGGACTATTGGGTGTCACCTTTTCAGGGGCATCCTCAAGAGGAGTAAGACCACAAATCAACGCTGTTGGCGAGGATCCAGCTGTTTCAGCCGGAGCCGATGCCATGGAAGATGGAGGCGATGTTTCAGCCGCTTCGGCCGGAGCAGGGTCCTCAGGCGATGTTCCAGCTGCTTCAGCCGGAGCAGATGCCTTTGAAGATGAAGTTGATTTGGAAATCGGTGAAGAACAGAGGAAAGCCATTGTGAAGAAAGAACCACATCAACCATCCCAAGCTGAAGTTGACGAACATGAAAGCACTGGACATGTTGTCCATCGGAGCTGGTGCTTGCACTGCAAAAGGGCACGTGTGACTGCTGATCGCCATGTGCCTAAGGAACTTGATGAGCCAGAAACGCAGTTGCCCACACTGAGCCTGGACTACTTCTATATGAACCAGGACCAGGTTGCGGATGAGGCGACCCTTCCGAGCATTGTGGTGAAGTGCCACAAGACCAAGAGATTTTGGGCGAGCGTTCTCCCGGGAAAAGGGGCGGATGCGTTCGCAATCGCGTGGCTTGGGGGAGTTTTGGATGATGCTGGTTTTAATAAGGTAATCCTTAAGTCTGACGGTGAACCCTCCTTGGTATCCCTTAAACAGAAGGTTAAGGAGATAAAGACCCACATCGAAGTGCACTTGGTGGAAACCCCAGTAGAAGACCATCAAGCCAATGGGTTTATCGAAGTGGGAGTGCGAGAGATAAAACGACAATGTCGTGCTCTCCTCAGCGACCTGGAGTTCAAGCTGGAAAGGAAGGTAGATCCGGGCCATCCACTTTTGGTTTGGCTCCCGCGGCATGCTGCCTTTCTCTTGACGAGATACCGAGTAGGTACTGATGGAAAGACCGCTTTTGAGCGGACCTATGGACGAAAATGGCGGATTCCGCTTGTGAGGTTCGGTGAAAGCATCCTGTATAGGCCGAGGGCCAATCGTGGGGGCAAGAGAAATGACCTTGCTCCAAGGGTATCCATTGGGATGTACGTTGGAACTGGAAACAGAAATTCAGACGTCTTTGTCATGACGGAACGTGGAATCATGAAGGGGAACTCGATCCATCGACGCCCACCTGACGATCAGTTCAAACATGATCAGTTTGACTCGCTACGTGGCCTTCCTTGGAGGTTGCAAGAACGAGAACATGGTGGACTGAGGATCGCCCTTCCCGATGTTGCAGCGCCTCGTGAAAGGCCTGCAGTGCAAGAAGTGATCCCAAGGAACCTCTATGTCACCAAGAATGACTTGGAAAAGCATGGGCACACACCTTTGTGTCCTGGATGTGAAGCAGCAATACTTGAGATGCCAAGCCGAGCTCACAATGCTGAGTGCAGACAAAGAATCCAGATCGAACTTGACAAGACTCCAGAAGGTCAAGAAAGGATCAAAAGAGCGAGAGAGAGAGTTGCACAAGGCAGGCGCCCAAGAGGCGCGGCTGCACCGCCTGAGGGTGGTGGGGCAGAAGGTGGTGAAGCTGCACCACCAGTTGTCCCAGGAGGGGAAGTTGAACAACCAGTCTTGCAAGACCGTGTTCCTTTGGATGCGGAAATGGATGCAAGTGAGGCTGTTGGTGAACCACTGGTCGACACCGATTTTCGTGGAGAACTCAGACAGAGAGAACAAGAAAGAGAAGGAAGCCCAAAGAGGCAGAAACAAGAACAATCCCGAGGAGAGAAAAGGAGTTCACAAGTCGACGTTGAAGATCTTTACAATGAATCTTCAGCTCAGGCTTCAGGGTCAGCCGGACCACCGGCACCGGATGCTTCATCTGGTGTTCCGGAAGGTGCTGCCGCTGCACCAACAAGTCCTGAGACAAACCAGGAGATGCTACATCTGTGTTCCTTGCTCAAAGATGTGATCGCAAAAGGGAAGGTTGCTGAGATCTTCTCTCCACCGCGTGTGGCTGCACAAGCCCAAGTGGTCGGGCTAGCACCTGGCTTCTCGATTGACTTGGAGACAAAGCGTGGTGATGGAACTCACTGGGACTTGAGTAAAGATGAACACATTCGTGATCTGTTTCAACTGCTTGACTATGAGAAACCAGAGTTCCTCGGCGGCTCACCTCCCTGTGGGCCATTCTCGAAGCTGCAAAACATTGTGGATGCGAAGGGCAATGTTTCACCTGAAGTTCGAGCGCAGAGACTAAAAGATGGTCGCAAACATCTGCGCACGGCAGTTTCAGCGTATGAGCATCAAATGAATGCTGGAAGGTACTTCTACCATGAGCACCCTAAAGGGGCCGCTTCGTGGGAAGAGAGAGCTGTGAAGAGACTGAGGGCAGATGAACGGGTGTATGAGGTCACTGGACCAATGTGCCGTTGGGGAATGAAGGCCGCCGATGGCCAAGGTGAAGGGTCAGTGAAGAAAGAAACTACCTGGCTCACGAACTCTCCAATCCTGGCACAGACCCTACAAGGGTGCTGTTCAAACAAAGAAGGCAAAGTTTGGCACCGCCATGTACATCTTGTTGATGGACGAGCCCGAGCTGCCCAGAAATACCCACCAAAGCTTGTCCACGCAATTCTCAAGGCCATTAGGCGCCAACTGGAATGTGATGGAGAACTACACTCACTTTCACATGGCCCAGTACCCGATGCTGGACCTGTGATCAATGAAGAGGAGGAGTTTTGGAAGCAGCTGCCCGACAGCGATGACACCATCGTGGAGCCAGTGCTTGACGCACACTCCGGTGCTGTCTTGGATGTTGACAAGGTCAGAGCTGCTCGACAAGAAGAACTAGCATGGGTACACAAACAGGGTATCTATATCAAAGTTCCACTCACAGAAGCCCAACAGTCTGGAAAACCGGTCATCACCATGAAATGGATTGACAGAAACAAAGGGGATGCAACACACCCCAACTACAGGTCACGTCTGGTCTGTAGAGAGATCAAACGGGCCAGCAATGCTGACTTCATTCCGGACTATGCGTCCTTCAGTTCGATGCCGCCTTTGGAATCGCTGAAATTGCTTCTATCGCTTATGGTGACTTTGAGACGATCCAAGTCTGGCAATGCACTGAAAGTTCGTCTTCTTGACATATCACGCGCTCACTTCTATGGAGAGGCAGAGCGTGATATCTTCGTGCAGTTACCTGAAGGAGATCGACAAGAAGGGTTTTGTGGCAAGCTCGTTAAGAGCATGTATGGAACACGCGATGCATCAGCGATCTGGCAAAGATCATATACAGAACTTCTCATCCGAGCTGGTTTTGCCAAGAATCAAGCTTGGCCATCCTGCTTTTACCATGAAGGTTACGGTGGTATTCGAGTTCTTGTACACGGAGATGACTTCGTGGTGCTTGCTGATGATGCTGGACAGAAATACCTTGAGGACACCTTGAGGTCCAAATATGATCTGCGGGTCGATGGATCGATCGGTCCTGGAGAACGGCATCAGCAGTTCGCAGTGCTCAATCGAATCGTGACCTACAACGAGCAGGAAGGCTCTGTATCCTATGAGGCGGATCCCCGCCACGTTGACCAGATGGTACGAGATCTAGAAATGGAAAACTGTAAGCCAGTCAAGACACCATCTGAGAAAATGTCAGCCACGGAGGCCAACTTGAAGTTGACCACCCCGACCATCACACCGGACCGTGTAAGTTTCTTCCGGTCTCTGGTGATGAGAGCGTCGTATGTGGCACAGGACAGACCTGACATCGCGGAGGCAGTGAAATGCCTATCAAGAAGAATGCATGAGCCCAAAGAATCTGACTTTCAGGATCTGAAACGCTTGGTGAGATTTCTGAAAGGGAAACCACGTGTACTTTTGAAGTTTGGTCGCCAGAAGTTTGCTGACACGATCCACATGTACGTGGACTCCGACTTCGCTGGGTGTCTTCTTACAAGGCGCTCAACAAGTGGACTTGTGGCAACCTTTGGCCGCCACACGGTGAAGGCCTCGAGCACTCTTCAGAGCACGATCAGCTTGAGTTCCGGTGAAGCGGAATACTACTCGATCGTTCGAGGAGTTTCCATCGGAATGTCGCTACAGGAGATCTTGCGAGGATGGGGCCTACAACCAAAACTTAAAGTGCACACAGATTCATCCGCTGCGCTGGGAACATGTAACCGTCAGGGCTTAGGCCGCTCACGGCATGTTCAAACTCGCTTTCTGTGGGTGCAAGAAAAGCTTGCACTACATGAATTCGAACTGGTGAAGATCCCGACAAAGCAGAACGTAGCTGATTTGTGCACCAAAGGTTTACCTGCGAATGAGATGGAAAGACACATGCAAAGCATGGGGTTCGAGTACTCTCATGGTAGAGCCGAAGCTGCAAAGGCTTTGGAATGAGTGTACATCAGCTTAGGAAAATCCCAGCCTCTGTACAGGAGGGGTGACGGGATATAGGGTTCTCACTAGTTGCTACGCCAACCTTTGGCTCAAGAACACCGCTGCTAAAATAGCGAGTTGCATATTCTCCGTTCAATGTGTTTTTGTATACGCTGACTGGCAGAACTGGCTGGGGCCACTTTGTATGGCAATACCAATGGGTAAACAAAACACCTGGTGAATATGTAGGTATAGTATGTTTTATTGTATTTTTGTGTCACCTATTGGAGTAAGCAACCAGGCTATTGTTTACCCATTATAATTAATCCATTATCTCCATTGATGGGTACAAAATACATTAAATGTCCCTCAACGTCGGCTTTTAATAGGTAATTGATGATTATTACCTATTTACTGATATGTTCATTATCCCAATATATTGGCTTAGTATTTCATATCATGATTGGATTACCAATGTTCTCCCCATTGTTATGCCATCCAAACGTTTCTAGAATCCCCCATGAAACCAACCAAGCCAGTTGCCTGACCCGGGCGCTTGAGGCAGTTCAAGTCCTACACAGCTGGCGAGTTTCGGTGGCACCAGTGGCAGGTGCTGGTTGTGTGGCCGGACCAGGCGAGGCCAATGCTTGGCCTCCGGTGGAAGCTGTGGAAGTTGACCTACCATTTCAATCCATTGAAGGGTGTCCAAATGATACCAACCATTCGGAGGGGAAAAAACAC